TATGACCAGTCTTTTGGTGGTAACAGAACAGCTTCCTTTAAAGTAAAACATATTGTACAGGGATAGTTGAAACATCTGTGCTATATACCAGCTCATTACTGTTCTTCCAGTTTTGTATTTCAAAGCAAAAATAGCTGCAAATGTTATTTCTGATATCTTTTCACCCTACCTATGTTACCAGTTTGATATTAACTGATTTTCCTGTTTGAATGTTCTTTGCTGCAACATAACTACAAGTAGTCCTATTAATGTGTTGCTAAGTATTAATATATACCTTGTAGATTATTTTTATTTCCTTTGTAGATTATTTATCTTGTAGAACCATTGGCACCAGAATTAGGGTTTGTTTTTTTTTTTTATCTTAGAATTTGTTGGTGAATTACAGTGATGCATTGCTTAATGATAGGGATATTTTCCAAGAAATGCATCAGGCAATTTTGTCATTGTGTGACCTTCATAGAGTATACTTACACAAATCTAGATGGGATGGGCTACCATATACCTAGGTTGTATAGGATAGCTTATTGCTCCAAGGATATACACCTGTACAGCATGTTACTGTATTGAATACTGTAGGCAATTATAACACAGTGGTAAGTATTTGTATATATAAACATAGAAAAGGTAGAGTAAAAATGCAATATCATAATCTCATGGGACTACTATTGTATCTGTGGTCTTGTTGTTGACTAACGTGTCATTATGCAGTGCTCGATTATAACTGAATAATTTTGTATTGATACCTAAAATAACCTTTTGCATAAGTTACACTGCCTGACAGAACTTCCTGGCTATGAATTCTGATTTCAGTCTTGACTCAGACCTTCTGAAAGAGTTCTCAGATTTGGCTACAGTATATGATTTGCAAAAGGCTATGAAAAATGTGCAGTCACGGGTTGATAACCTCTAAAACAAGTTTGTAACAAAGAAAATGTGGTCCAGAAATCCAGGGAGAAACATGCAGTTGAGAAGCAAGGGGCATAGTTAGCAAATAAAAGTCTTTAAGGGTGAGGACTCTCATGAGAGAAAAAGTACAGAGTTTCTGAAAGATACTTGATACATACTTAATATAAACAAGCAGAACTGCCTTTCTTGCTTTCTTCACTTAATTTATGAAATGGTACTACAATGCCAAGATTATGTGTCCCTTCCTTCCAACAACCGTCTCTTCACTGTGAGCTGTTAGTAACAAGAGGGCAAGGAGAAATACAATGATGACGCACTCAGACCGCCACTACTCAATAAGGTAGATAGTTCTTTAGTGGCAAGAGAGAGTTCCAGAACTCTTCTCTTAGCAGGACCAGAGGCTGTATTTTTTTTGTGTCTCCAGCTAAATAAATGTAGGAGGGGCAAGAGTAATCATACCCACCTCATGTTTATTGAAAATTGAAAAGGCTTTTTCAATCTCTTTTTAATGTGTACCCTGTCAGATGTGGTAAAAGAGCAGAGTATCATCGCAATGTTTCGTTCATTTTTTAAGGACGGTGGGCAAGGCCAAGACAAAATAATATAGGATCCTCTCATTTCCTTTTCTTTATCCCATCCTCCCCAACCTGAGAATCCACGCACAGAATTGTATCCTCGTGTTTTCTTTCTGTACCTCCAGTGAAAACTCAGATCTGATACACTCATTGACCCTAAGCCATAATAAGGCTAGCCAATAAGACTTGTTTAATGCATTATCTTTTCCAAGAGTTAATTTTGTTTTTACTAGTACAAAACTTGTACATGGCTTCAATGAGTAATCAAAGTACAGTCATGTGCCACTATTTGCAAGATTTTAGGCATTAAATAAATGAACATTTTAAATTTTTTAACAGCTACATTTTTATGTGTATTAGAAAAATAACTAGCCCTTCAAATGCTATGTGTTATTGCTGTTTAAAATAGGACTGAAATACATAGTTAAATTTAAAATGAGTGAGGTTTTCTTGTTGTTTTTTTTTTTTTTTTAATGAAGTTTAAAAGTGAATAGGGCAGATGGTACATAGTATGGCAAAAATCATGAAAGTAGTTAAGCAGTAAAATCCAGTTTGGGAAACAATGGCTTAAATCAGATGACCAAAGCTTTCCTTTTTAGACTCAAAGCATCATCAAGTAATCCCAGTAGAGAAGTCACTTGCCTGCTGGTTTCTCTACTGAAGATTGCATTCAGACTCCGAATATGAAGTAATGTCTATAGAGTGTCAGGAAAGTCATGGGAGGGTCATTTTCTAGGTGCTGTAGTGATAGAGGTCTTTCTTTGCTCAATAAGCTTTGTAACTCTTCTTGATAATGATTTTGATTAGAAAAGGTTTCTTGTTTATTTTGTGCATTTTTATAAACTGATTCTCTTAGATACTTGTGACAGGGTTTTTAGAATGTCAAGAAAGCTCTCTGATTTTGTTTAGATGACATGTTAACTTTTAATAATTTGTTTAAATTTTATGTATTTAATTTAGATGTTGATGTTAGTGAAGATTCACCTCCTCCCCTACCTGAAAGAACTCCTGAATCTTTTGTATTAGCAAGTGAACATAGTGAGTGTCTCTTTTGCTTTTGCATTTACTTCATACTGTAATAATAAACTCTGAAAAACATGGCTGATTTTAATCTAGTAGTAATTGAGCTACATAATTAAATTCAAAAACAAATTTGGATTGATAGTGACAAATGCTTTTTAATTCCTTGTTTGTAAAATACTTTTAAATGATATTTTTTGCTTGCTAAGATTGCTAAAATGGCTTGGCTACATTTACATTAGAATTAGAATACTAGAATTCAGTTAAATGTGATTGTAAGTTTGCAATCTGGTATCTTTGCATTCATTAAAAGTAGCACTTATTTATGAAGACATTAATTGTTTCACTTGGTGCCAGTTTAGGTAAGTAAACATTTAAGCTGGGTTGTGGGTAGGTATTGCTGACATTGATAGTATACCTCTCCCCTAATAAGGAATACAGAAACAGCTTGAATGTATTTATAGTGTCTCATGCACAGTGATGGTGCTCACTGGTTTAATGAGTTACATTTTACCAATATGTTAATAATTTTGACTGATTTTAAGAATGTTGAAAACAGGCTAGGTGTGGTGGCTCACACCTATAATCTCAGCACTTTGGGAGGCTGAGGCAGGAGGATCATGTAAAACCAGGAGTTTGAGACCAACTGGGCAACATAGCAAGACTCTATCTCTACAAAACAATGATACAAATTTTAAATTTTTTTTAAAAAAATGTTGAAAACAGCAAAGTGGTATACTTACCTAAGTCTCTCCCATTGTCTGTAGATTACAGTAAACTCTGATGACTGAATTCATTTAATTAAATTTTAAGAAAGGAAACTTAAAGGAATTTTTTTGTATCAATAAAAACTACAAAATTTTTATGTGGTGACTCACACCTGTTATCCCAGCTACTTGGGAGGCTGAGGCGGGAGAATC